TTTGAGACAGAGTCTCATTCTGTTTCCCAGGGCAGAGTGCAGTGGTGCGATCTCGGTTCACTGCAGCCTCAAGCGATTCTTCCGCCTCAGCCTCCCGAGTAGCTGGAACTACAGGCGTGCACCACTATGCCCAGCTAATTTTTGTATTTTTAGTAGAGACGGGGTTTCACCACGTTGTCCAGGCTGGTCTCGAACTCCTGACCTTGTGATCCGTCCGCCTCAGCCTCCCAAAGTGCTAGAATTACAGGCTTGAGCCACTGTGCCTGGCAACCCTGTCTCTTAAAATGAAAACAAAACCAAAACAAAGTGTACAATTCAATAGCTTTTAGTATATTCACAGAGTTGTGCAGCCAGCGTTACAATCAATTTGAGAATATGGCTGGATGCAGTGGCTCATGCCTGTAATTCCAGCACTTTAGGAGGCCGAGGTGGGCGGATCACCAGCACTCAGGAGTTTGAGACCAGCCTGGCCAACGTGGTGAAACCCTGTCTCTACTAAAAAATTCAAAAATTAGCCAGGCATGGTGGTGTGCACCTGTAATCCCAGCTACTCGGGAGGCTGAGGCAGAAGAATTGCTTGAACCTGGGGGGCTGGGGTTGCAGTGAGCAGATATTGTGCCACTGCGCTCCAGCCTGGGCCACAGAGCAAGACTCCGTCTCAAAACAAACAAAAAAACCAAAAAACCGTACTCATTCATTTGCTGATGGGCATTTGGATTGTTTCTACTTTTTGGCTATTGTGAATAGTGCTGCTGTGGACATTCACATAGAAGTCTGTGTGTCTTTTTTTTTTTTGAGACGGAGTCTTGCTCTGTCGCCCAGGCTGAAGTGCAGTGGTGAGATCTCGGCTCACTGCAACCTCCACCTCCTGGGTTCAAGCGATTCTCCTTCCCCAGCCCCCCGAGTAGCTGGGACTATAGGCACGCACCACCATGCCAGGCTAATTTTTGTATTTTAATAGAAATGGGGTTTCACCATGTTGGCCAGGTTGGTCTTGAACTCCTGAAGTGATCCGCCTGCTTCAGCCTCCCAAAGTGCTGGGATTACAGGCATGAGCCCCTGCACCCAAGCGGCCATGTCTTTTTCTCTTGCAGACCTGGCCCTGGTGCAGTGTGCATAACACGCTTGCTCCCTACCCTCCCACTGCTGGAAGCAGTCACCCAGGAGATGACCCTTCCCGGCACCTCCTCAGCACGTGAGTTCCAGCAGGTTCTCCGCACCTGCTCCATTCCTCCCCGGCATCGTCGCCCCTGACATTATGTTCTGTGCCCTTTGTCTGTGGTCTTTCTCCTACCAGGTCAGCTTTCCAAAAGCAGGCATTGCTGTCTCATTCATGGCTGTCTCCCCAGAGCCCAGAATAGGGTTCTCCATTTGTTGAGCAGGTGCTCAATAAATGTTCATTGAATTGATGAACAAACCAATTATTGGCACGCTCTTCTCTCTAATCCCCTGTATCCAAACCAGAACCAAATTCTGTCAACGTTTTGTTCTAGAGTTGCTCTGTCACCCAGGTTGGAGTGCAGTGATGTGATTGATCCCAGCTCAATGCAACCTCTGCTTCCCCAATTCAAGCAATTCTCCCGTCTCAGCCTCCCAAAGCGTTGGGACTACAGGCATGCCCCACCATGCCCGGCTAATTTTTGTATTTTTCGTAGATGCAGTATTTCAGCGTTTTGGCCAGGCTGGCCTCAAACTCCTGACCTAAAGTAATCCGCCTGCCTCGGTCTCTCAAAGTGCTGGGATTAGAGGTGCCTGCCACCACAGATTACAGCCCTCCTGCCTGCCAAGCCAGGAGTTTGAGACCAGCCTGGCCAGCATGGTGAAACTCATCTCTACTAAGAAAAAAAAAAGTAGCTGGGTGAAGTGGTGTGCCCCTGTAGTCCAGCTACAGGTAGGCTGAGGCAGGAGGATTGCTTGAGCCTGGGAGATCACGCCACTGCACTCCAGTCTGGGTGACAGAGCAAGACTCTGTCTCAAAAGAAAAAAAAGAGAGAGAAAGAAAAGATGGAATCCCCTCACACTCCTAGCCCTGCCCCCTGGCTACCCGGCTGACCGGGCTGACCATCTTAGCAAGGCGGTCCGAGGCCCAGGCAGTGGGTGTCTGGTGCAGCCTGGGAATGGAGAAGTCTCCCAGGGAGTATCTGCCTACTGAGTCAGCATGAGACGCAGCTTCTCCTTCTGTGACATCTTCCTCATCCTCTATGTTAGTTTCCCACTTCCTGTAACATATTGCCACACATTTAGTCGCTTAAAAACAACACAGATTTGTTATCTTACAGTTCTGGAGGCCGAGAGTCCAAAATGGGTCTCACTGCACTGAAGTCGGTTTCAGCGGGACTGTGTTGCTCTCTGGGGGTTCCAGGGCGAGAATTCATTTTCTTGCCTTTTCCCAATTTTTTTTTTTTTTTTTTTGAGACAGAGTCTCGCTCTGTTGCTCAGGCTGGAGTGCAGTGGCACGATCTTGGCTCACTGCAACCTCCACCTCCCAGGTTCAAGTGATTCTCCCGCCTCAGCCTCCTGAGTACCTGGGATTACAGGCGCCTGCTCCCAGGCCCAGCTAAGTTTTGTATTTTTAGTAGAGACGGGCTTCACTGTGTTGGCCAGGCTGGTCTGGAACTCCTGGCCTCGTGATTCTCCCTCCTCAGCCTCCCACAGTGCTGAGATTACAGGTGTGAGCCACCGCGCCCTCCCAGGAGTTTTGGTTTTGTTTTCTACCAAGGCTGCAAGAGTCTCAACCTGGGCCTGGCATACAGCAAAGGCTCATTTATTGCTGAATGAATGCATAGATTGGGGGAGCGACAAGCGGAGCCCACCTTTGGGACCGGGGCTGGGGCGAGGTGGAGAAGGGAGCTGCTGTGCCGGGGGACTTGGTGGGGTTTGGGGTGGGGGCCAAGGCCAGCAGCTGGCAGCAGGTCCTGAGAGGGGCAGGGGCATCCTGAACAGGGAGGGCCTGGCAGCCTTGGTCACCTTGCTGGAACTGGCATGTGGTACCACAGGCCTGTGAGGCTGGGCCTCTCTGCTACCTAAGGCCTGCATGGTGGGGGGGTCTGCCTTGTCTCCAGGGAGAAAGACCCTGACGGTCACTGTGGAGTGGGGTAGGGCATTGCAGCAAGCCAAGATAGTGCCCCTGCACTCCAGCCTGGACGACAGAGTGAGACTCTGTCTCAAAAATAAAAAGGAGCAGAAAGGTCAGTGTGGTGGAGACAGAGTGGGGAAGAGGAAAGGGTGGGAGGTGGCGTCAGGAGACAGTTGATAGGGCAGCCAACTGCCTGGGAGGCAGGCCTGAGGCCACCCCTGTGTCCCCAAATATCCAGATCCTGGGGGACTTTGGGATGGGAGGGTCCCAGAGCCTGCTTTTCTAGACACACAGCCCAGGCCCGCTTGATTGAAAGAACGGACTGAAGGCAGGGCGTGCACTCAGGGGCTGCGCAGGGAACCGGGCCTGTTACAGGCTCCTGCCCCCCTGCTGGGACACCTGCCCCACGTGGTGCTGAGCCCCTGATGGCCTCGTCCTGCTGGTCTTAGGCGTGAGGCTCCCAGAGGAGGCTGGGGCCTTGTCTTCTCCCCAGCTGGCTTGGCCCAGGACCCGTCAGGAGGTTGGCACCAGCTGGCAGTAGGGGGCAGGGTCGGGGTTTAGCAGGTCCTGCTTGGGGGGAAGAGAGAACAGAATGATGACTGGGTGGAGGGTGAGAGTCTGGGGGAGACACACAGGGACAGAGGTGAGACAGGGTGAGATGGAGAGAAAGCAAGCCACAGAGAGGACGGAAGAGCAACGTGGAAAGACAGTGAGACACAGAGACAGGAGGACCTGGACGAGCCAGGGAATGAGGCAGACACAGGGACAGAGACGAAGAGGCAGGAGAGACAGAGAATGGAGACAGAGAGAGAGACTGAGGAAAGACAGGTGCAGAGAAATAAAGACGTATAGAGAGATGCATCTTAGACAGGGCAGCATGAGCAAGCTGGAAACAGAAAGACAGAGAGATTATAAGAACACAGCCAGGGAAATGAGAGAGAGGCTCCAAGAAAGGGCACGACAGACACACACACATATGTAGGCCACTGAGAAAGAGACAGAGATACAGGGACAGGCAGCAGACAGGAGGGGAGGGAGAGGGACTAAGCCCTGCCATGGGGTTTCACTGGGTCCCTGACTGGCTGTGTGGCTCCCGGCAGGCCCCTGTCCCTCTCTGGGCCTTGTTCCTCCTGTGCAAATTCATGCTTCTTTTGCAAAGAAGGAAATTGAAGCCTTGGGAGGAAAAGGGACTTGCTAGGATCTCTCAGGGCGGTGGTTTTGGGCCTCTTCGAGAGCTGAGACCATGAGACTTGGGGGAGGAGGGGAGGAGAGCCCCAGTTTTGGTCATCTTGACCCCTCCCCACCCAGGCTTCAGGGCTCCTGGATCTGTGGGGTCCCCCCACCCCTCCAAGCTCCCAGCTCCATACCTGGTATTGGTGGTTCTCTGGCCCTGCCTGCAGGGGTGGAGGTGCAGGCAGGGGCTGCAAGGTAAGGACATGAGTTGGGTGGGCACCCGCCACCCCCCATCCTCTAACTGTTGACCTTTGATGCCAGGACAGTCCCAGATTCCAAGTCCCCATCACTGTTCCCAGGCTTCGAGGCCCCCGGGCAGAGGGGATTAGCTTCCCTCTACCTCAGCATTCTCCTCTGACAAGTGGGCACTGGGCTCAGCTTCGTGTGGTACCCAGTGGCCTGTCAATCACTCTATTAATGCTCAGTCTATCCCTGTCAGCACCTCTGGTTCTAAGCTCTTAGCCTTAGAGTTTTAAGTTTCTCTTATTTTTTACTTTTGAGAAAGAGACAGGATCTCGCTCTGTCACCCAGGCCAGAGTGCAGGAGTGCAATCACAGCTCCCTGCAGCCTCAAACTCCTGGGCTCAAGCGATCCTCCTGCCTCAGCCTCCCTGGTAGTTGGGACTACAGGTGCACACCACCATGCCTGGCTAGTTTTCTGTAGAGATAGGGTCTCACTATGTTGCCCAGGCTGGTCTCAAATTCCCCTCCTCAAGCGATCCTCTCACTTGGGCCTCCCAAAGTGTTGGGATTTATTTATTTAATCTAAATAATTTTGTTTTTTCCTGAGATGGAGTCTCGCTCCCATTGCACAGGCGAGAGTGCAGTGGTGTGATCTCGGCTCACTGCAACCTCTACCTCCCCGGTTCAAGTGATTCTCCTTCCTCAGCCTCCCGAGTAGCTGGCATTACAGGTGCATGCCACCACGCCCAGCTAATTTTTTGTGTTTTTAGTAGAGA